TAGTGACCGCACATCCACTGCCTGATTCTTGATGTTTGTTTTCAAATTGAGGCAATTATATCCTAGGTATCCATCTACTTGGATTTCAGCTGTTGACGGAGGAAGTAGCGCATGTTACTGACCTTCCTGCTCCAACATCTCCAACGAACTTTCCACACAACCTGCCATTCTTGCATGAGTACCTAGCTAGGAAAATGTCCATCTACAACGTCCCCTTTCGTTTGCCAAAGTACGTGACAGTCACCACCTCAACCTCTCCACAACTCATTGAAAACTGAAGGAGCGTCCTTAGAATAGAATCGACGGGTGAGGTCCCTCCAGAGCTCTCATGTGGGGCTGCGTCAGCAGGCCACCAACATTAAACAAACTTTTGGTGAAATAGAATCCAGGGTACTCCCTTCAGTCTGTCGTTCATGAAGGACCGTGGTATCGGAATGCGCAAAAAACTAGAATCAACGCACTTGCTACGATCCTCAATGATGGAAGCAGCATTCTAACTTTTCCATGCGAACTTCTAACCTAATGCCCTAACTCGGTAAGGGAAAACACGCGACGTGCACAACTTCTTTCCTCTGCCCTCAGTGCCTTAATGGCTATGGGAGCATTCACAGATGTGTGGTCCACAAACAATTATTAGAAAAAAGGCACGCTAGCAATTTATAATTGCTCACAGTAACAAGGGCAGTGGATTTCAAAGCTCCAACAAATTCACCGATATTATGGGGTTTCCCTAGGTGAAGAATACAACAAAAAATTCAACTTTTGGGACAAATTGACGGATTTCTTTAACAAATTGCTTAATGCATAGAGGGTTTATTGGTTTAACTAGGGCATACAGTGGTGACTATTTACAAGGTGTAGGATTGGACTAGGAATGGTAATTGGAGACGGAATGGTTCTCGTACAGGCGATTCCATTGCTTCTCTTTATGCGAGTCTACACAGAGGGCCTGGCGCGAGGGGGAAGGTTGAAGGAAGAACCCTGAGATGTGACCACATCAGCGGTACGAGTGGGAGTCGACGTTACTTGTGGATTCCATTGCCACCACGGTGGGCGTCGACGATGTGCCTTGGGTCTCGACTCCCCTGTGAGAGAGCACCCATTTGAAGTACTCGTAAACAGACCAGGAGATGGCTGAACCCGGTAGGGTGGTCACGACACGAGCATTTATGCCCAAGAAGAGGCCACGGATGCCTTGAGTTTGCAACACCACCCGAAGAGCAGTGAAGGCATTTCGGATGACTGTCTTGGATGGCTTATAACCGACCTCACGATGAAGGCCAACACTACAGCATCCTCTATTTGTGTGGGTCTTTAAGATAAAAAAAACACGTTTACAATCCCATTTAGGGGTGTCATAAGGGACCAGGCACTGTTAAAGGCGAAGCTAATGAAACGTACCTAAGAGAGAAGACAGTTGTAAGCGATTAAAAAGTTCCTGACGCGTCATGTAGGAACAAGAGCGTATGGTAGAAAGTTAAGTCGGAAATACAAAAGCCATATAATCGATGGATACTCACTTGAGTATTAAGGACGGTCTTACAGACGTCCATTGGGGTAGTTATAGCTGCCGCGGTTGAACCAGCCAATCCGCCGGAAACGATGTGAGTCCACGGGAGATACTCCTTAGAGGGATTAAGCTTGCTCTGGAGGCACTCGTAAGACACAAAATGGATGCACTGGAAGGGCACGTTGGTAGAAAGTTGGGCGAAGTAAGCTCGGTAAAGAGAGCCTGGACCCTCAGTCTCAAGAACTCGTCGCAAACAATCCCAGGAGTTATGATAAGGACTGTTGAACATCTGCAGCCGTTGCTTTATAGCTATGAAAGAATACAAGAGCAATACCTTCATACATTATTACCCGATACACGATGTCCCGAAACATACATAATTTCTAGGGATGTTCTGATTATAAACTAGCTATTTCTTAATATCCCAACCACCGGTTGAAGTCAAGTGTTTCATAGCAGCATGCTACATTTCCTTCACGAAGATAGAACTCCAGGTGCCTATCTGAAGTCATGATTTCGTTGAAAGATCAAAGACTCAAATAACCGTCAAAGTCCGACTTTACGCTTTCGTGCGATCACGGAGTGGAATAAATGATCGCTAAAGCTTTACATAAACCATTAGAATGTTGAAGAAAATGGGCGAAACTATCAGGTGGGTTTCGAGACCGAATGCATCGGACCTCGAGTCTTGATGTTTCGCAACGTTGTAAATAAGTATCACACCGGCAAAAGAAAAAGCAATGAAAAAAGCATTAAAAATACTGGCCCGTGAATTAAATAGCAAGCTTATACGACATAAAGCCAACAGCAACGAGACAAATGCAGGACTCCGCAGTTTTGCTAAACAATGCATGCGACATCTAAGCTCAGTCAGGCGACGAACCAGTTTAAGCGGCAAGCCACAGATGACATTTCCTACACATGGAATGCTTATACGACACCATTGTGAATACCACACAACCATATGCGTACACTTCTGAGAGTCTCCAAGAAGTTTCGATTTTTGTTGTAATTAATAACATAAGTACAATTTACACAAACTACACCCCAATTCTCATAAACTCATCTCGGTAAATTATAATAACTAAATCGGGGTGGACACCTTGACTTCAAAATGAAGGCAAATGAAAGTAGGCTGTCACCAAGATTAGTTAAACAGACTTCGGACTATGAGAAAACAGGAAATAGGACTTTAGAAGGTGGTTAAGCTAGCAAGTGACAGGCGAAAAACATCAGTTTGACAAGTTTGCAACGCAAGGACTCACATAAAGCGACGCGACCCCAGAAGATTACGTCCGTATTGACACAAAATTAACAGGTGTGAAGTCACGTAACTTTGAGATACGACAACTGTGGTCACTAGGACATACCACACATCCACTACGAGGGATGTACTGTAACATTTTACGAAAAACAAACGCTTTAATCCGAAAATTGATATCTTATAGTTCCAAAACAAACATTACAAATACCCAGGACAAAACTCGAAATATTTAGTGCCTGGAAAAGTACTTGATTTTCGGCAAATAACACGAACTAGCTAACGATCATTTCATCGCGAGATGCGTTAGGCAAATAAATGTGGATATATTGAATTCATGTGCAGGGGGAACACAAATAAGTTGGCAAATGCGCCGTTAAGATGAAAGCATCTTAAAATTCAATTAGTCAAATCAAAGAATAAAGAGCAAGTTTTTATTCAAATAGAGGATTCACCGGTATCTTATACTTGCAAATATTCCTAAGACGTATGATTTGAAACCGAAATTTCTACACTCTAGATAATAAGAGTAGTAACATTGAAGAAATCTACGACAACCATCGAACTTTGGAGCAAAAAAAAGAGAAAAGAATTCAAATTTTGAACTTCATTACTAGGAAACAAATAGCTGAGGAAATTTAGCAATCTTACAGCATTGGTAGACTAATTTATTTCACCATTTTAGGCACAAAACAGGTCACATTGATTGCCATTTGCTTTATGCTTTACTAGTTTTCTAATATGAACGGAAGTAAATGTTCTTCAACCGACCGGAACGGCAGAAAATGAGGGCGAAGGGATCACCACATCTTCAAATAGTCAGAGCGTCAACTAACGATGGGTTGTGCAACAGAATCAAGACAAGGTTGCATATTATGTAAACAGTAGGGTGTGGCTGACAAAATAATGCTAAACGGCAAAGGTTTTTACCATCGGCGGGGGTCATGACGGCGTCATGGACGACAGTGGCACAAACTCCGCTGAGCGCGTGGGAGACGTGGTTGGACTTAGAGCCGAAATAGGTATGCGGGATGAGAAGGGACTTCATGTGCTCATAGAGGCCAAAGTACAATGCGTGTGCTGGACCAGCACCGCAGACAACAGCCCCAATTCCGCGGAACGACCGCAGCAAGCCCTCGTTACGGACCAGGTGGCATAAACCATCAGTTAAACTGACATAGCGTTGGCCACTTGGCGGCCTCAGACACTGCAATCGAGTCTGAAAGGGAAAAAATGTACAACGCTTGCATTTCTGTGGTAATCAATGAATGCCGTCTGGATTTGAACAAAATGCACAAAGGTCAGCTGCCCAAGCCTAAGTTTACGTGGACTTGAATCCAATAACTCAAAATAATTAAATTACAGCACAGTTCATCTCATGAAAGACGCGCTGCTGAAAATACAGTGATAAACTTCAAAAGTAAGTAAAAAACAATTAAACACATAGAGTTAAGGATAGACCTGTTGTAACAGCAAAAGTCATCATAAATCCGAAACCTCGAACTCAGGTTCGTAATCAGGAAGAAAATAGCGGTTTTTGTAGACTTATAAATAGCGAAGAACTCACCTTTACACAGTCAATGGGATATGTTATGCTATGCTCCATAATCCCAGCGCAAGTACCAGCCACCATGTGGCTTAGAGCAGACGACCCCTCTGGCAGGCCCTCATAATCATCCATCACCTTATGGAAAGAACGAAATGTCAACTAAATGTACTACTTAGCAGAATAAAATAAGCAACCAAGTACCACGTTATACTGGAATAGGCGATTTTATTAGTTTAATTAGCTACGTGTCTATGCAAAACGAACTGGGCTTGAGGATTTAGCTTTTTTTCATAAAAATCGTCTGATTTGTCATTTTGCGTCATGTAGGATCATGTTCAACAAGACCAGCAATTTCCTTGACAAACTGTGAAGTGATAACCGGTTTTATTACAATTTACAAATAATAGTTACCGTTAAAACATACTCACTTCAAGACCGGAATTCCTGAAGTTTAGTGTAAGATCATGACGCATAATACTAAACAGAAGTCTGCATTTTTAACGGGTGACCTGATTGAAATGTGCGTATTAGCATGGAATTTGGCGACGCCCCACAGATAAGGCATGTTCATTTGTTTTGCAAAGAGAAAACGATGCTAAAAATTGCCATAAAACGCCCAGCACAGCTCGTGACGCGCATGATTAATTCCAGATGAAGCAGGTCAGCTAAATATCTAAAATAGCTACACGAACAGAGGAGAGCTGATGTGTTACAAATAGAAAAAATGCATTCTTGTAAAGAAACACAATTATTCGTAGAACTTTTAGAGTGAGCGGAGGGGATGGAAAAGGCAGTAAGTGCAGAAATTCAGAGACACTGGGAAGTACTAAGCTCCTAGGAAATCCATTAAAAGCCGAAAATGCTGCGTGTTGTCAAGACTTCATGCTATCAGTCTTGTTTGAGCGACAGAAACCCACCTTGAAAAGCACCAATCCCAAGCGTTATAAGATCAGGAATAATTAGGAAGAACAAACTGTGCAGGAGTGTAGAATTCAGTAAGAGATAAAGTGGTATAACTTATGCCGATGTAGAGGGTGAAGATGAAGTAAAACATTGGCGACTACATAATGCTCTAGTCACCTGAAAGCATAAAATGAATCTCAACATCATTTTTGATCTAACCTTTGCATACATTTTGTATTTTTCGGTAACCAAAGGTGACGGCGTGATAAAAATACTAAATTGATTGTTAGAGGTTTCATATACATGTGTGAAATTCAATTAGAAGGTAAATCAATTACAAAATGAGACAAGAACAGCAGAATTGACAAACATTTGAATACTACAGGAATTTACAACAGAGAATGAAGGCCAAAAGGGGTTTGACGTCGGAAATGTGTGGACAGTTCGAATAGCTGACAGCTCGAAGGTTGCACGATGAGCATGCTGAGGTTTTCTGGATTGATTTTTTTCCTACTAGATATGCCTTAATGATTGTATTTACTTCAACGTTAGTACAACGTGAACAAAAAAATGATGTTGGGGGAATAAACCAAATTAAAGTCGAATTTTCGCAATCCCCAGTCACCAGGTCAGCTAACCACCAGATTCACGAAAAATCTAGCAAAGAACAGGAGTGAAGATTTGGTCTTAATGGAACCAGATTGCATTTCAGGTAAGGGCAAACCACAACTTGAACATCAGAGTGATCTAGGTATATTAGACCTCAGACAGGTAATCGCAAACGATGACGTTTTAATGCATTCACAATTTACTACAAAATAATAGCTAGCAACAGTATTTTAGAAGAACGTAAATAATTTATGCCTAAATGACTGTGCCTAAGTGTGTCCTTCTAAGGGTTTACCAGGAATTGGAGTACTGCTTAGGACACTTAAAAGCACGGGATCAACATTGCTTGATGCATATCTTTACAAGCGACAATAAATTCTAACGCAATCTCAGGCGACCGAAGACGGAAATTATTAACAACAGGATGTTGTCGCATATGAGTTCAGGAAAAAAACTATCGAGTTCGAAGGTAGATGTTTAAATTGTGATCGTGTATATGTTGAGTGGTGAAAAAAGTGTTAGTAGCGACATTAATTTTTAGCCGCAGCAGAATCGAACAAACCATCATTACCTGGGAATAACGTAAAATGGAAACTGATATCAGGGTACTCAATAAATCAGTGATTAAATGGCAGAGACCAATTAGCAACATCAACATATGTAAAGTACACCATGAATTCTGCTTGAGAGGTATTTACAATTAGATTGTACAAAACAGCTGCTAAAAGGTTGAGATTCACAAACTAACCGCTATGACTGAAAATGAATTTTATACACATGTTTTTAAGATCTGCAACGAGCTACGTCTCTATGAGCTAAGTAAATTTACAGAAAGAACTAACCTATGGCAAGAGCCCAAAATATTCGTAGAAGTGTAGAATTGACCAGGCACCGCGTGTGGCACTTGAAAGCGTGATGTAAATGTTCGTAAAATGCTAAAATACGACCAAACATAATTAAAAATAGATATATAGGGTCACTGCATTTAGGTCTACAGCGTGAAGAAATTGTTGCGGAATAAAAAAGACGAGTTACAAATTACTTAGGGGATTACAAACGTTTGAAATATGAGAGATGAGTATACGAACATTACATAAGACAACATTAGGTCTGCAGAAAAAACCTGCTAAAGTCATCAAGCAGCACGAACCTCTAAATAACCCAACCTATAATAGCAATGAACATAGAAAATGGCGTCATGCCATAACGGACAGCATGAACGACACACAAATTTACTCGAAAAGCGCGGTTTCTTATGTGATGCAGTTGAATCCACCTGAGAAATCCGTCTTATTCGGCACTGCAAATATTATCAGCTAATAATTAAGACAAATTTGGCATGAAACCTGCATGTATTGTTTATTACTAAATAGTTATTTGGTTTTGGTGATCTCCACATTCTGTTTACTGTAAAAATGAAAAAAACCAAGCTTGAGAGAGAAACAAAGAGATTGAAATATATTCCGACTAGTATTTTTGAATACGTTAAACTCCGATAGTAGTACCATAATTTCAGGCTTGTCTGACAGAATTTTGGGATTGGCATGAAGAATATTGTCAATGCCACTATCCATTCTGTCTAGAAAAGACAATTAAGGCTTAGACATCATTATAGTTCATTGTATATCATGAACAATAACGCAAAATCAAAAGAAATTTAAGCAAAAATGTTCTAAATTTAATCATGTTATTTTTGTCATGAGCACTCAATATTCAAAGTTACTTCAAGAATCTTATATCTGGAGATGCCGAATGACAAGCAGCTCCGAAGCAACATCAACAAACGGCCTACAAAAGCACATGATTAGCAATAGAACAATAAATTTAACTAATTCCTAAACCACAGGTAATTTGTAGCTGAGAGCAATTCAAAAACAACTGCAGGTACGAAAATCACTATAATTAGCGCAGTAAAACTCTCTGTTGGTGTTAAATGCCAGTTACCGATTCGCTAGATAAGTCGGATCTAAAATTATCGCCTAATGGGAGCTCTAAACGCTTTTTGTTTGAGATTAAATATTTTGACCTACAATACCTTCAAATTTATCATTTTACCTACTCATACCAATCCTTTACTCATGTTGTGTGCATACTTCTGCCCCATGGTATTATCAGAAAGGGAGCAAGAAAAATCGAGTTCTTTAATAGAGACGAATTGTAGAATAGCCGACCCCTAATAGGATGACTGGTACAACAGAACAGGCTTTATTGACCAACCACAAGCCAGAGCCTCACATCAGACGCCTTCCACCCGAGTCCTCGACGCTGGCCACACCGCTCATTTAATACTGCACCTCATTCATGTCCCTCTCTGGTTGGCTGATTATTTTTCTCGCATGCCATTGGAACCCACAGAGACACAGAATTGGCTGAGGATAGCTGGTCCAAAATGTCTGCGCTCTGATCCGCCGCCAAACCACACTACATCGACGCGTCACTTTTTTTTATTTCGGTAATGTATGTGTACCACCCATGTGGCGTTATTCTTTTGGTTGTAGTAGTAAAGAAATTTATTCCCGATATCGAGATCCAGGCATTACTTCTTACTTGTTTTACATGTACATAAAATGTTCGCCGTTTCTTTTCCAACTTTGAGAAAAATAATAGTGTTTGATGTAATTAAATTATGTTGCAAGCTGTTTGCTTTTCGTCTTTTTGAATTTTGTTGTGACAATTAAGTTGCAATGGTGGCAACGTTATCATACCTAGGGTGTTCTATTCTCCAAATTTATATCTCGTTTTTGGGCATTTTTTCTAGGTAGCTAGATCCGGACCGCTGAACCCGCTGACTATATACAAGTTGTATCAGCCTGGAGAGTGGATTTAATCATTGAAATATTTTGTAAAATGCGAATATGTTGTCTTCGCTCTTGCGAGCCTTTTCCAATTGTTTGCTTGACCCATTATTGGTGCTGCTTTACAGGTCAATACGTAAATGATTCCATTTAAATGGTATTAGCCTGGAGGGTGGATTTGATTATTAGTCATCTAGGTAACATTATAAAATTTAACTTTAGTGATCTTTTAATTTTGTACCTATACCTCGCTGCTTTTTAGTATGTGAACTTTTGTGATGGATGTTAAGGACAGCAATCTCCGTGAATTGCCTCCGGAACCAAATGCCTTTCTCTCTCTAATTAAAAACGAAGATGTATCTACTATCATCACCTCTCAAGAAGGCCTCCTTTCTCGTTTGGAAAAGACAAGTGCAATGCTTCAAACCGTAAACGAGCTTTCAAATCAAAGACGTGATACCCTCGCTAGCCAGTTGGTGACAAGCACGCGTGTTCTTGTTTCGGTAAAACGTGAACTCAATTTGATTTTAAAACGAACTGGATATATCAAGAAGATCCTGAGGATGCAGTATCCTGTTGAGTATGATATCGCATCACTCAAGCTAGAAAGCGCTTGGAAAACTGACTTAGACGCAGAACGCGACGATTTTACTCCTGCAGCCACTTCAAACTTCCATCCTGATATGGGTTCTTATGCCGACTAATTTTTCTGTTCGTTGTATTTTTTTCCCAAATATATTCCTAATTTTGTAAAATGCTCTTTTTCTTTGGCAACGTTCTGAAGTAGATGCTCATGATTGGCATGTCTCATTTCAGGTATGACTCTCAATCCGATTTCAGTACTGTACAACATCTTCTCGTGTTTATTGGCCGATTATGTGTATTGTAAGAAGTGTCTCATGAGTCTCTTTAAAGAAGTTGTCCGTTTGGCGCAAGATTCGAGGCAGGCCTGCCAGATTCTGAGGCTCGCTGGTTTTATTTTTTTTGGTTTACTTGTAACCAGGGCGTTGAGCTATATAAGTAATAGGTAACAGAATTTTTAAAATCTCACTATTTAGTATTGCACTTTCTGCTTTCTCCGATTTGATAGTATTTGATGTTCTTTTTCTGCTTGTCGCACTGGTGAGTTTATGGGTGCGTCAACGGACTGCCGACGTGAAGACATATTGCTTTGGATACGATAGATTTGAGGTGATTGCTGTGTTTGCGTCAACGATTTTATCCATCATTTCTTCATTTTATCTCCTGAAGGAGGCTATAGAACGAATATTTGAACCCGCCATGGTAAGTGTAAACTTATATTAGTTGCCATTAGCATTATTTGAAGTCGGGTTTAATCCATTAAATAGCATCATCCGTCGTAACACCGTAATTTTAGGGAATTAATGAATTTAAAACTATCAAAACAAATCTGCATGTAATGTTTAACATATTGTCAGGTGGTCATTCTGAAAATCGCTGCCTATCTTCAAATTCACACACCTAACTAACGTAACCTAATGTACATGTAAATCGTACTTGTCAAACTTTAGGTGGCCGCTGAATACATACCGTGGACAGCACTGATATGCATCGGGTTACACATGATCTCTATATATTCCATCGAAAATCCGGCTTTTAATCACGTCACCCAGGCAAGCATGTCAAGCTGGCTGCAGGTAATGCTACTTAACTTCATAGTTCTCATTTATTATTGGTCCAACTCCAACGGTGTCTTCTTGGCCAAAGAGTTTTTTGACTGTTACTGAGTATGCCATATCACTTTCAAATTTTGGGCAATACTCACCTTGCCATGATTGTGCTTCTTCCTCTTGCGTAAATCACCACATCAGATTTTTACAAAGCTGCTGACGGAGCTTCCTGTCTGTAGATTTTTCCAAGCTGAGTCTTTACCCCTATACTCGTTTTAAATCACTCTGTTAACAAGTGTCGTTCCGTCTAGTATTTTCTGCCAATCTGGTCAGTGTCGGTTCCAGTATAAATGACTTTTTACTGAAAAGATTCGTTTGGTTTCTATTTCACGTGAATGCATTCTGTTATAGCTCCGACTGTTCGGAGACTGGGATAAATGTACTGAAGCAATGCCCTGCATCACCCCATTCATTTGTGCATCCAATGAATTCACAAGCTTTATGATTACCAGTGGAGCCATTCGTAGGCTTACCGACGCTAGCGCAAGTTCTTCCATCACTAAGTGTGAGAGGATTTAGCGTCAGTTTTAATAAAGTAGAGGTGTAGGCTGGATTCATGAAGTTTTCGGATCTCGATTACAGAACCAATTTCATTGATCAGGCATAATTGCCATGTGATACACAGCATATCAATTCCCTACACAAAAATTCGTCCACTAACCCGACGGTAGTCACCGGCGATTCTCTGCTGAATGTAACTGTGGCTTTCTTGTGTGCACTTTCTTCAAGAGTTGATGAGTCCTAGGAAAAGCTGTATCTTTTTTGGATCGATGAACAGGCGATAAACAGAAGGCTTGAACTGTTGTTAGAATCGAAGTAAATTGTAGCATGAGGTCTTTGTGTTTGCAATTGTGAGCATCATACTTTGAACCATTAAACCTGGGGTATTTTTTTTACTTGAAGTGCGTTTTTAATGGTTAGTTTAAAAGTGAACTTGTGACTGATTAACGGACGATTTCGCTAAAACTTGCTGACCCCAGAGCACTGATTCTTGTAACGATGAACCAGGCTAATGTTCGTGAACCGAATTGAGGATACATGCTTCGTTACTGTCCACACGAATTACTTCGTTGTCGTGTATTTCCATTATTATGACTTATGTGGTCAGTCTCGTTTTCTCTTGCTAGTGATCTATCGAATGCAAACAGCTAAATTATGCGTAAAATGAGCCACGTTAGAGTCGACCATTCAATCTGTAGTATGCTTGTGAATAAAAATTGCGAGTACTCCGGAATTGACCACTCGAGACCCAAGATAGCCTATAATCACATCAAGAAGTTATTGAGATTCGTTATTGGGACTCAATTTTCATGTTTTTCTTTCAATTTTAGGACCAAGTTGCTGACATCAGCCGCTCATTGAGGAATACCATCCCTGGTTTTTCTCGAATCCTGCCTCCTCGGATGAACCCTATCACTTTAGTGGGGTCGTTGGTCGTTGTGGTGATTCTTTTTACTTATATGGTGATAGACCCAACGACCGAGGCTGGCACCCTTCCTGACACGGTAGCGGCGGTCGTGATTTCTCTTCTCCTCTTTAACACAATGGTCCCAATGGCAGTTTATAGGTATCTCTGTTCATTTTGTGTTATGTGCCCTTGTTCACGGATGTAAAATTAGTGGTGAAAGGGGGATTTACGGTGGGTGTTTCGTCTTCCCCTAGGGGTGCCCTTATAGTGCCTTTGTACGAACAGCGGATTCTAACCAGAAACCTTTATCGGCCGGAAAGTTTACTCAAATTCACGTAATCAGACGACGGGTTTGTATTAAACTGCTCGCAAGTATTGGCGTCCCTACCACTTAATTAAGGCTAAAACCAGTCAAATGAGGACTTTTGTCTTATCCTCATTTGCTATGTAATTTCTTGCTTGGACACTTTTTGGTCAATGTTGCATTAGGACAATTTCAAATTCGCGACTATTCACTTTAATGTGCTTCCAACTCTAATTGCTGATTTCAGTGGAAAAATATTGCTACAAACGACTCCTTCGTACCTTGTTACGGCATTAGACAAGGCCCTTCGAGAATCGTCCACTCTTGAAGGCGTCCTGGAGCTTCGAAACGAGCACTTTTGGACGATTGGGTTTGGCACCCTCGTGGGCAGTCTTTACGTTCGCGTTCGACGAGATGCCACTGAACAGCTGGTATTGGCTCACGTCGCCAAACGGCTTCACCCATTCGTCAAACATCTCACTATTCAGGTGATTTACTTAAGCATTACCACTATGCTCAGCGCAATTATAAGACTATCAACTGCACCTGGCCCACTTCTTATAGGCCTCGTACATGCATTTTTGTTCCGTCTATTCGGGTTTCTGCAAGTCACCAAAGATGCGCAACAAAGCCGACTTAATGGCGTAGTCGCCCAGGCTAGAACCAGGAGCCCTCACCGCCTCACATAGTAAGATAGGCAACTACTGTTACATTAATTCTTGAAATTGGTTTATTTTGGAAAAGTCGCTTTTTACGCCTGTATAATTGGATAGCTCATTGGACTCCGTGTATTTCTGCAAATGCTGATTTCAACAATTGTACGTGTTGTAATTCGTCTGAATCGTACAAAATATTGTGGGGGAACACGAGTTAATACCCGTTTTTGTCTTCATTTCAGGTCATCAAAGACGACTGGGCTCGTCCAACAACTACTCTTAATTTCGATTGGCCGCCGCCGACGGGTTATCTGCAAAGTGCGTCACCTTACCGGGTATCCACGAGAGATGAAAACCACGGTCACAGCCACTCCAGTTCCTCGTGTAATCATGGCCACTCACACTAAAGCGCCTTTTAGTTCATGCCTTTGCTCGGCTTACTTATGATTTTCTTTGCCACATGCTTGTATATAACTGTACACGGACTCAGAGCTTTTAACCTGTGTTGAGATTAGCATGTCTAATGACAACTCCTTTTGTGTAGAAGCTTCAAACTAACTCCAAATGTCGAAATCTGAGTGTCCAGAGAAATACGTCCTTTAGTGGTTTCCGTCGAACTCAGGCAGAGAATGCAGAAAGATAACAGCTGACTAGTAGCTTGCCGGGATGCCTTTTGTTGGATCTCACAAATAAACTTGAAATCTTGGGGTTAATGCTGCGCTGGCCTGTTCCGCTGTACGCCACAAAGAGACCAATTTAACCCTTATAAGGTTATTCCAGTCTTGGCTCAGCCAACATGAAGAGTAAGGCTTTGCACAGTGAAGGGATAAGGGGATTTATTTTGTACACCAGAGTGGCTACTTCTTTTGAAAGAGGTTACCGATGGCGGGAATACTCACTTTGGCTGTTGCCGATTCAGCGAGCCGGGGCGCAGGGATCTTGGACTGTGTTTGAGTAGCATCGACGGGTTCGACTGTGTCCCATTTTGTCTTTTTTTTCACCTCTAGAGGAGGAAGCAACTCTGTAAGTTAACGTAAATCGCTGAATGTACCATTAAGAAATACTAATTACATGGCTTAATCATAAACGAGCGAGGCTATTCTACACAGAGCTTGTGCAATTGACAATCACCCATCTTTTCTTACCGGAGCGCTTGTCGGGAATTGCGTTTGTGTTGCTGGGCCGAAGGTTCGGTCCGCTAGCGGTGCGCTGTAGTCCGGTTGGCAAATTGGTGCCCGTTGCGCCACTAGCTTCGGCTTTTCGGCGTTCCTTGCGCAGCTTTTCGAGACGTTCAACCTCACGATTCTGGATCTCCCCAAGTTTATCATAGAATGAGTTGGAGTCCCACCGGTAGGGGTTAAAAATATCCTGCAATAAGAAATAGCCAAATGCTAGGTATTTCGGTTGTGCTCCGTTGTCGTACAACCAATATTTTGAGTTACGTGTCCTATCCGAAGGGAATCGCATCTCAAAGAGAAATTTTAACGATGAATTCGTGGAATCGATATTGTCACATTTTGGACGATAACTAATAAACAATTCAAAGGATGTGTACTGGTGCCTGATCCGGGTGACGATAACCGTTTAATGCTCTAGTTTAATAAAAACGACAACGATCTCGTTAACTGCCGTTTATTAAAATAAGTATTAGACATACGTTGCAAACTGGCCAACTAAATCAAACAGAAACCTTGGTACTTGACAATTATTTAAGGCCTATTTGGAAGAACTCAAAAACGTATTAGCCCCATTTACACATATCACATAACATTTACTAGGGGAAACTAGGTGCACTCAACAGCTCATGCTATGGAATGATCCACAAAGGTTGCCAGCCACACAGAGTAATGTACATTACCGGAGAGAAGTTCGTGCCTTTTTCGTCGATATCCAAGAAACTGATGAGCTTTTTGTAGATGCTGAAAACGTAGAAACAGACGATAAAGCATCAGAGAATTCCAAGTGATGTACTTACGCTCAATAGTTCGCAAAGGGCACCCACATGTCCGAACCCGGATAAATTATATTTACATTGACTAAACATGGAGTAGCCTACGAGAGTGTTAAGATTTACATTGATATCGAATTAACGCAGCCTAGGAAGGTGATACCAGCACATAGGTTAGCTTGGTCATTCAGATTCGGTTTTACTTTTTAAAATAAAGACAAAATTCGGTTCTCTTTATCTATACATTATATTTAGGAAGTGTTACAATAATCAGAAGGCATACATAAAAAAGCATTTTAGCATTCACCTCGACAAAAATGTCCTCACTTTTTATTGGTAGCTGGTGGGGTATGAATAGTAAAAAAATTATCCATAATTGTTTCAAAAGCATTTCTACAGGTAATTAAAATTTACCTTGGATTCCTGAAGGCCTTATTATCTTGTATCATGCGGTTAGGGTCAAATCCAATGTCATGCTGCATGCGGCGCACAGTGCTCTCTACGACGTTTTGCAAATGCATGCTACACAATTCCTTTGGTTCAGGGGGAAGTGTGACATCAAGCTGCTGTCTCTGACTTGTGATATCCGAGGGTGAAGGTGAGTGGGAAGTTTGTTGGTCCTCTTTCTGTTCACCGATATCGCCTTGAGTGTCGCCCGCGGGTGACACCGGCGACTCCTGTGCGGCTTCGATGGCCGCCTGAAAGTCAGATATCTTGTGCTCCGAGCTGAGCACAGTGAGTGGACCGCCCTCAGAGACAACAAAGTGGAGAGTCCCGGCGTCCCCCGCAAGGCTTTCATCATCGGCATCACTGCTGACGGAAGAGTTGGAGTAGATTGCGTCGGATCCATCATCTACTGAATCGCTGTCTCCATCATCGTTGTCAAGGCCATAAGAAACTAAATTGAATCCACTCCCCTTGGCAGGGCGCCGGGATTTGTTAAGTGAGGTGGTCGCTGACTTTGGTTTTGTTGTTTCTTCATTACATTTTTGTTTCTGTGAGCTACTCGTCCCTTCGTGTTCATCGTCGGAAGTTACGAACGCAGGAGAATTTGGAGCAGACATTTCCTCGTGCGAGTTGGCCGATCTTCCCTAGGTAGGCAAAACCATGCAGCTTTAGCCGTAAGCCGTCCAAAGTACAACAGATTCTTCAGGTAACTGAAATTCGTAACAACATGCAAGACTGCACCACTCACAAAAAACTGTTCGAAGAAAATAGCAGCGTTAGTGGTTGAGCTGAATCGGTGTAACAACATAGAATAAGAATACCAAAGCAGTTCAACGGATGGTTAGAATGTGGATCTCAACAAAGGAAATTGTAAAACCCCAAGGTTATTAAAGCTATTGGCATATTTTTGAAATTGGTCTAAGATTTTTGATTCTACCTGCAATAAAATTGCCGCTCCACAATTAACAAACTTGAAGCTACTGTTCATTTGGGGTATTACACGAGAGACTGGAGAACATGGCAAACTTCCAGTACTAGCTATGATGAACATGGTTGACAAAATGCATGAGGTCACGCGGCCTTTATTAGCTTGTCTCACGTAAATTCTGTTGTGTGCAGCTTCACACCGTGGCATATGAAACGTGACCATATCTCAGTTAATAGGTGTAGACATATTTTCCACGCTTCTGTCTGAATTTGATGCGACTGTAGAACGTAGCTGTCTGCAATGATGGCTTAGTAATTAACCGACCTGTCTAAATGTGAAATCCTTCCCCAATGCCACAACCTACACGCAAAATGAGCACTTCTTCCTAAGTCGCGTTCCATCGGCTGGGGTCTCTCACATTACTGTCTGTTGTCACAGAACGTTGTCCAGATGATCCAAGCTTAACATCTACA